AGAAGTAGAGATCGAACAGTCCATGGAATTTCCACCAACTACTCAAACTGTCGCTAAGGAAGGGCACTTACAGCGCTCACTTCCGGCTCACATTGGGTCTCAGCACATCTCCTAGCTGCTGCTCTACACTCTTAAAGGGACAGAGAGGAGCCAGCACGCAGAGAAGCTGGCTCAGTCTCTGGCCCCCAACCTGGTCTCGGGACAACCCTCCCTCGTGCTCCTACTCTGCATTCTGAAAGGGACAGCAGCCAGTCCCATGCGTCTCCACACAAGCCCCCCCCTTCCTGCTGCCTTCTGCATTATTAGGGGCAGGGGTCCAGCAGCAAGAGCACACGGGTTCCGTGTGTTGGACCCACGCACTGCAAATGATGCAGACTAGAGCCCTGTGGAGTAAAACACGTTTTTCTTGGTTTCATTGTATTTCACAAAGAAAGACACAGGAGGCTTCTTCCTTGAGTGATTGCCCATGTGCATTCCAGTTAGGTGTGTGCGCGCAGTGTGCATGCGCCGGCTGAAGTTTTTCCCTCAGCAGTACCCTTAGGGCCAGCGGGAAACCCCCTGGAGTGCTGGTGTACCGGCCCATGTACACCCCGCTGGCCCTTCACCCACTCAGTTCCTTCTTACCGCCATGACCGTCGTTGGAACAAGCTCTTTACAGCGATTGTTGTTCTTCTCATTCTTTCAATTAGTCTCCAGCTAAGTAGCTGCAAATTAAGTTAAAGACTCTCTTGTTATTTTCTGTTTAGTTATTCCGCACCATGTGCCCGCAGCAGGGCATGCCTGGTCCGCAAGACTTTAAGCCCTGCAGAAAGTGTCATAGGCCTATGCCCTGTGGCGATCCCCATTCATCGTGTCTAAAGTGTCTGGGGGAGGCTTACCTCACAGAAGCCTGCAAGATCTGCAAGGCCTTCAAACCCCGTACTAAGCGAGAGAGGGAATCGCGCCTCAAAATCCTGCTAATGGAGGCGGCTCTCAGGCCGGCACCGGCATCAGACCCAGCACCGGCCTCTCAAAGCGCTGGCATCGGTGCAGGACAGTTCTGTGCACCACACGACTCCGACACTGCAGAGGTCCCGGCAGCAGTCCCAGTCTCCGACACCACAGAAAAAGAGGGGACCTAACGGGCCGGTCCCCATCCAGACATGCGCCCTCCAGCGGGGCACGTGGCACCTATGAGTCTGGAGTCCAGGCCTTCCAGGTTGGGCGGACCTTCCTCCCAGCACAGGGAGATCAGTCCAATGGAGGACTTCCTTGAGCCCTCCATGCCAGAGGCCTTAGAGGCACCGAAGGTCCTTATTGACTCCTCTCCCTCTCCTCCTCCCACCCCGACACCCTCCAGATGGCATGGGGAGAATCAGCACTGACCCCCTTCCAGGGCATCTGAAGGTCCGGTGCAGGAGGATGAAGTCCACCGACCATCCCTACCAACCCAGGCGGCACCGCTCATGACACCTGCCACCAGGACGTTCTTACTCTCACTGCTGCCCCAGGACACAGCAATGTACTCAGCACGGCACCACCGTTTGGCACCGCTACCGGTCCAGGGGGCCCCAGCACCTACCTCTGTGTGGGATGCCTGCACTGCCTCCACCTCGGCACCACGGCAAGCCGGAATGCATGGCCAGACAGGCGATAGCTTCGTTGGCACCTGGTCCTCAAGGGGTTCCCAGTCCCATTGGCGGTGCCACTCCTGGCACCGTTCCCGGCACTGCAGCCCTCCCCACCTATACCAACAACAGTGGCACAGCCTGTTCCGGTGCCAATGTTGCAGAAAACTTGGCCCCCACAACATCCGGGCCAGTGGCCATTCTGGGAACCTGGGCATACCACCAAAGCCAGGGCGTAGATCCAGCCAGGGCGTAGATCCACCCAGGCCGGGTTCCGTCTCCGCAGGCCCACGAGTTCCTCCTTTGGCAACACCTCTGGCCAGGTCCCCTACTTCGGGCCAGTCACTACTTCCTGGTCAGTCGTCTCCAGGCCCCGGAGGGAGCGTGGCTGCAGTGAGCCAACCTCCCCCTTCCTTGTCCCACCTGGACACCCCTGTAGGAGAGGTCCAGAAAGGGGCGTCATCTGCTTCTCCGGACGAAGCCTTAAGCAATTCCGCATCACCCATGCCTGCCATGGACACTAGGGCCCACCAGGACCTTTTCCGCTGCCTGGCCCAAAGTCTGGGGGTCCAGGCGGAGATGGTATCAGAAGACTTGGATCCTACTGTAGACATCCTACACTCCGATGCTCCCTCCGGAGTGGCTCTTCCGGTTAATAAAACTGTAGCCAAAATTTCTAAGGCCTTGTGGCAAACCCCTGCATCTGTCGCCCTGACTGATAAGCAAGCTGAAAGGAGGTACTTTGTTCCCCAAGTGGGCAATGAGCACCTGTTTTCTCACCCTCCCCCAGGCTCCCTGGTGGTAAAAGCCGTCAACCACAGGGAAAGACAAGAAGACTGACCTGCTAGGCAGGAAAGTCTACGCATCGGGGGTATCCAGTACCACATCGCCAATCAGCAGGTCCTCTTGTCACATTACACCTATAATATCTGGGCATCCATGGATGAGTTCACGGACGTGCTCCCCAGGGACTCCCGCTCAGAGTTTAAGGCTCTCCACAAAGAGAGCGATCTCCAGAGCAGCACTTCAGGTGGCTCTCAACGTGGCGGATGCTGCTGCCCGGGTGATGGCCACAGGTGTGGTCCCATTTGAGGGCCCTTTGCTCTTCACTGAGTAGACCGATCAGAGGCTCCATGGCCTCAAGGATACCCAGGCTACCTTAAAATCCTTGGGCATGAACACTCCTACTACCCAGAGGTGCACTTTTGCAAATAGGAATGTTCCTAGAGTGCCCTCTCATGCCCTACGTCCTGACTTGTCCCATCGTAGGAGCAGGAGTGGTAACGGCGGGAACAATAAGCTCCGACCATGTCTGGCTCCAGGCAGCAACCAGGGGCCCCCCAACAAACCCTCGGGCCCCCTTCAAGTGATTTGACGGGACCCCTGAGGGCTTCTTACCAGTCTCCCCACTAACTTTCCGGGACCGTTTATCCCACTTCCTCCAAGCCTGGTGCTCTGTTACGTCAGATGGGTGCTGGAAATAGTGGGAAGGGGTTACGTAATCCCTTTCCACTCGCCCCCCTCCTTCCCAGCCCCCTACCCCGTCCCTTTTCAGGGACCCCTCTCACAAGCCTCTGCTTCAAGAGGAGGTCCAACATCTCCTTATGATAGGGGTGGTAGAATGTGTTCCCCCTGAGTTTCAAGGGAGGGGGTTCTGTTCCCGTTACTTTCTGGTCCCAAAGGGGGCCTCTGTCCCATCCTGGACCTCAGAGCCCTCAACTCCTTCATCGCCAAAGCAAAATTCAAAATGGTAACATTGGCATCCGTAATCCCCTTGTTAGCCCCCAGAGACAGGTACGCTGCCCTCGACTTAAAAGATGCTTTCTTCCACATCTCAATCGCCTCCCACCACCACAGGTTCCTCCCATTTACTGTGGGCCCAGACCACTACCAATTCACAGCCCTCCCCTTTGGTATTTCCACAGCCCCTCGGGTCTTCACCAAATGCATGGCAGTGGCAGCCACTGCGCTCAGGAAAAGGGGCGTCCAGGTGTTCCCCTACTTAGACGACTGGCTTCTGAAGGGGGACTCATAGGCTCAGGTGAGAGCCCTCATCACCATAGTCCTCACACTCTTCAATGACTTAGGCCTCCTGCTAAATCTAGACAAATCAACTCTTAACTCCCACCCCAATAATAGAGTTTGTGGGCGCTAACCTGAACTTTCTATCAGCAAGAGCCTCTTTACCCAGCTCCCGGTTTCTCACAACAGAGATGGCAGTCAGGATTTGCCAGTGACCACTTGCATGCGTCTCCTGGGCCTCATGGCTGCCTGCACTTATGTAGTGCAGCATGCCAGATGTGGCTATCGCGAGTCCACAACCTGGCCGTCCGCTGTTGGGACAGAGTGGTGATGGTTCCTGCACCTGTACTCCTTGCATTGGACTGGTGGACCCATCAGGTGGAGGTCTGCGCAGGGGTCCCATTCTCCAGACCAGTGCCGTCCACTCTCCTTGTCATGGATCCCTCGGACACCGGCTGGGGAGCCCATTTAGGAGACCTACACACGCAAGGTATGTGGTCTGCAGATGAGATCTCCCTGCATATCAACATCAGAGAACTCCAGGCAGTCCGACTGGCTTGTGTGGTTTTCCTTCCCCACCTCGGGCAGATCTGTCCTCATCCTGTCAGACAACACGACAACGGTGGCGTATATAAACAAGCAGAGCGGGGCTCAGGCAGTCCGACTGGCTTGTGTGGTTTTCCTTCCCCACCTCGGGCAGATCTGTCCTCATCCTGTCAGACAACACGACAACGGTGGCGTATATAAACAAGCAGAGCGGGGCTCGTTCTCCTCGCCTGTGCTTGGAAGCAATTTGCCTGTGGGACCTCTGCATCGGGGTGGATATCCACCCAATGGTACCTCCCGGGTTCCCAAAACATCCTGGTGGACAGGCTGAGCAGATCCTTTGTAGGACACGAATGGTCCTTGAAGTGGGATGTAGCTCAATCTATCTTCTGTGCGTGGGGGGAGGGTCTCACCATCTAGACCTATTCGCCACAGGGCGGAACAAGAAGTGCCCTCGGTTCTGCTCCCTCATGGGGCGGAGACAAGGTTCCCTGGGAGATGCTCTCCTCTTCCCCTGGCCACTGGGCCTGCTGCATGCCTTCCTACTAATTCACAGGGTCCTCCTCAGACTGCGGGAATTCAGGGCGTCCCTGATTCTAATTGCCCCGGCATGGCCAAGGCAACACTGGTTCTCAGCCCTCCTCAGTCTGTCATGAAAGATGCCCATGACCCTCCCTCTGTTTCCGGACCTGATATCTCAGGACTCAGGCAGGCTTCGCCACCTGGACCTGCACTCGCTGCACTTGACAGCATGGAAGCTCCGTGGTTGACGGTTGAGGAGCTTCAGTGCTCACCAGGGGTTCAGGAAGTTCTGCTGGGTAGCAGGCAGCACTCCACTAGGACCATGTACCTTGCTAAGTGGAAGTGGTTCTGCATCTGGGCTTCCCAGAAGTGGGTGCACCCAAAGCAGGCTACGATTCTCCGATCCTGGATTACCTGTTGGATCTCGGGCTCCTGGACCTCTCTTGCTCCTCCATCAAGGTTCACTTGGTGGCCATCTCGGCCTTCCACCCGGGGGAAAGAGGGAAAACCCTGTTTGCTAACCCAATGGTCAACAGGTTTCTGAAAGGGTTGGACAGGCTCTATCCACACGTATGCCAGCCCGTCCTCCAGTGGGACCTAAATCTGGTCCTTTCCAAACTTATGGGACCTCCATTCAAACCGTTAGCGACGTGTTCCCTCCTAGTCCTGTCTTATAAGGTGTCTCTCCTGGTGGCACTCACATCTGCCAGGTGGGTATCTGGACTCCGGGCGCTTACCTCGGATCCCCCCACACGGTGTTTTTCAAAGATAAGGTTAGACTCCGCCCCCATCCAGCTTTTCTGCCCAAGGTGGTGTCTTCTTTCTACACCTCCCAGGATATTTTCCTGCCAGTCTTTTACCCTGAACCCCACGCTTCTGGGAAAGAACAGGCTTTCACACTTTAGATGTGTGTCGGGCATTAGCCTTTTATTTAGACAGGACAAAACCATTCAGGAAGTCACCGCAACTCTTTGTGGCCATTGCTGAACAGGCGAGGGGCCAACCCATGTCCTCCCAGCGGATCTCCTCCTGGATAACCGCTTGCATCAAGGAGTGCTATGCCCTGTCAGGCATACCGGCTCCACCTCTTAGAGCACATTCCACAAGAACTGTGGCAGCCTCCATTGCTTTCATGGCGGATGTTCCCATCTTGGACATCTGCAGAGCCGCTACATGGTCCTCTGTCCATACCTTTGCCAATCACTATGCGCTAACGCATCAAGCCAGGGAAGATGCTGCCCTGAGTAGAGCAGTCCCCCACTCTTCTGTAGTTTCAACATCCGGCCCTCCTCCATAGGTTCTGCTTTGGAGTCACCTAATTGGAATGCACATGAGCAATCACTCGAGTAGTGACTACTCCTTCACACCCTTACATAAGATGGAGGCTGGCAGTGGGAGCCAGGAGCCAATCTGGGGTGGGGGCGAAGGCTAGAGGTTGTGAGCAAGGGGCTGGCAGTGGTTTGTCTAGCTCAGAGCCAAGGGAAGAAGGATAGCTTTCTCTCCGTGACTCCCTGACTGTCCTACATGTGTGCTTGGTGTTTGAGTTGCTGGGCCCTTCTCTGCGATGTCTAATGAGAAGCCATGGAGCCCAGGGACTGCCCTTGCCGTTTGTGAAGAAAGCCCTGCAACAGGTAAGATCGAAGAGCACTGGAGGTGAGGAAGGGGGAGGGAACAGGGAGGGGATAGAGAGGAGATCTGAGTAGATGGCAGTGCAGTGGAGGGACCTTTTCAATATGCAGGGTTATTTTGCTAAAGCATAAAATCCCCCAAAATACAATTCCTGTGAGCTGGAGATCATTTCCCTACCTAGACATACACCTGCCGTCTCACTGACTCCCCTTTGATTAGTATGGGTTTATCTACCAGTGAGGAGGACTGGGTTAGCTGACTTATGTACTGGGATGGGTTTCCCCTTTGGATTGCCCCAAGTGCACTAAGCCCACCTGTTATAGCAGCCAGGGCACCCTTTCTGCCTGCCTTGCCTGAGCCAGGCTATAAAGAAGACACGAGAAGTGAGTCTTCTGTTCTACACTAGAATCACAGAATCATACAATCCTAGGGCAGGAAGAGACTTCAGGAGGTCAAGTCCAGCCCTCTGCCCAAAGCAGGACCAATCCCAACTCAATTATCCCAGCTAGGGATTGGCTGGCCAGGACTTAAAAACTTCTAGGGATGGAGATTCCTTCACCTCCCTAGGTAACCCATTCCAGTACTTCACCACCCTACTAGTAAAATAGTTTGTCCTGATATCCAATCTAGACCTCCCCCACTGTGACTTGAGCCCATTGCTCCTTGTTCTGTCATCCCTCACTACTGAGAACAGCCTCTCTCCAGCCTCTTTAGAACCTCCCTTCAGGAAGTTGAAGGCTGCTCTCAAATCCCCTCTCACTCTTCTCTTCTACAGACTAAACAAGCCCAAATCCCTAAACCTCTCCTCATAGGTCATGTGCTCCAGCCCCCTAATCATTTTGGTTGCCCTCCGCTGGACACTCTCCAATGCGTCCACATCCTTTCTGTAGTCGGGGGGACGGGGACGGACCAGAACTGGACACAATACTCCAAATGTAGCCTCACCAGAGCCAAATAAAGGGAAATAATCACTTCTCTGGATCTGCTGGCAATGCTCCTCCTAATGCACCATAATATGTCATTAGCCTTCTTGGCTACAAGGGCACACTGCTGACTCATATCCAGCTTCTCATCCATTGTAATCCTGACAGAGAGCGTCCACCCTGAGAAGCCCTCAGAGCCTCTCTGGTCCTTCCCACCAGGGGCTCGTGCCCCATTCCTCCCTCATGTCCTTCCACTTACCCCTCCCTAGCCCCCCTTCCTGATGTCAAATACAAGACACGTATGTTCAAAAACAGAAACTGGGTTTATTAAACAAAACGGGGGGGAGGGGATGAACCTCTGGGGAGATTGGAAAAGGAGGTGGGAGAGGGGAGGGGGAAAACTGGGAGGAGGGAGCTGGAAGGGGGAAGCAAGGGGAGGAAGGGGGAGGGGAAGCTCGGGGTTGGGGGTCTTGTCGGAGCAACTTGACTTTCATGCTGACCTGCTCCTGACTTCGCATGTGGCCTTCGGTGGCCAGGCTGGCAGGTATCCTGCCCTAGACGGGCATGTTCCTCCGTCTAGTGCGGAGATCATGGATGTTGGGGGCATCCCCCCCAAACCCTAATG